CTCTGGAACAAAGGATTTGGATTTCAGTTTGGGGTGTTGAGCAGTACTCAGGAACTAAGGACTGGATCACAGTGTGTTGGGTCAGTGAGCAGTATCTGCAACTAAGGATTTGGATTACAGGGTGTTGAGTGGTTTAATAGTACTTGAGAACAGAAGATGTGGTTTGCAGTATGTTAGGTGGGTTGATACTAAGGATTTAGAGTTCAGTGTGTTGGATAGGTGAGCTGGACTCTGAAACAAAGGACGTGGCTTGCTTTTTTATTAGGTGCTTGAACAGGACTGGAATGGAGGGGCTGAATTGGAGTGTGTTGGGGGACTGAGCAGCACTATGGATCAAAGGAACTAGACTGGCATACTGGGTGGTAAAGCATGTACCCTGTGGTGTCAAATGGTGCCTGAATTCTGAAAAAACCCATCTGTATATTTCATTATGTACATACTACTCCAAAAACATATGCAGACAAACATTAACATATCTGTTTATCTTTTAGGGTTTAGGATTTAAAGAAGGGTCATACCCACCTATCTGCACTGATCATGTCTGGTGAGTATTCAGTACTACATTATCACTCTAAGGGAATCTGTGACCAAAGTAATAAAAAAAAGTTTACATGCAGAAGTTCAGTGGTACAAAACCATATGATACCATTCAGTCTCTGTCCATATTAATGGATAAGTTCACCTTTCGTAACAATACATGTTACTCCCATATTCAGGGTGTAACATGTTATGAACAGACTGGCCTGCCTTTGCGGCTGTCGGCTTGTAGTTTTCAATTAACTACCACAGCTCCGTGGTAGTTTATTGAGCCTTCCTATAAGTAAGTATCTGCTTGCTTGTATGAGATGTATGAGCAAGCAGATACGGTGACAGGTCAGAGGGAGACCTGCGTGGCACGAGTGATCTGCTGATTGCTGGTTCAATGCTTTAGATCAGGGATATTGAATTAAAATTCACGGAGGTCCAGTCATTAAAATTTTCATCTTGCAGAGGTCCGTGTCTCATGCTTTTGCTATGACTTGGTTTCTTCATATCACAGCCCCACCCCTTTACATTAGTTTCCTCTTTACATCAGAGCCCTCTTCACATCACAGTCCCCCCTTTATACCGCAGAGCCCCCTCTTTATATCACAGCACCCCCCTTTGCAATACAGCCCCCCTTAACAATGCAGCCTTTCTTTACATTACAGTGCCTGCTTTAAATCACAGCCCCCTTAACATCCAAGTTCCTCCGTTTACATCACAGCACCTCCTTTATCTAAATGTCCTGTGCTCCCCCTTCTTACATCACAGACACCCACCCTTTACATCAGTGTCCCCAGCCCCCACCTGGTATCCCAGTCCCCTTCACAGCGCCCCTTCCTGGTATCCCAGTCCCCTTCACAGCGCCCCTTCCTGGTATCCCAGTCCCCTTCACAGCGCCCCTTCCTGGTATCCCAGTCCCCTTCACAGCGCCCCTTCCTGGTATCCCAGTCCCCTTCACAGCGCCCCTTCCTGGTATCCCAGTCCCCTTCACAGCGCCCCTTCCTGGTATCCCAGTCCCCTTCACAGCGCCCCTTCCTGGTATCCCAGTCCCCTTCACAGCGCCCCTTCCTGGTATCCCAGTCCCCTTCACAGCCCCCTTCCTGGTATCCCAGTCCCCTTCACAGACCCCCTTCCTGGTATCCCAGTCCCATTCACGGCCCCCCTTCCTGGTATCCCATGCCCTTCACGGCCCCCCTTCCTGGTATCCCAGTCTTCTTCACAGCCCCTTCCTGGTATCCCAGTCTTCTTCACAGCCCCCCTTCCTTGTATCCCAGTTTTCTTCACAGCCCCCTTCCAGTTTTCTTCACAGCCCCCCTTCCTTGTATCTCAGCTTTCTTCACAGCCCCCCTTCCTTGTATCTCAGTTTTCTTCACAGCCCCCCTTCCTTGTATCTCAGTCTTCTTCACAGCCCCCCTTCCTTGTATCTCAGTTTTCTTCACAGCCCCCTTCCTTGTATCTCAGTTTTCTTCACAGCCCCCCTTCCTTGTATCTCAGTTTTCTTCACAGCCCCCCCTTCCTTGTATCTCAGTTTTCTTCACAGCCCCCCTTCCTTGTATCCCAGTCTTCACAGTACCCCTTTTTTGCACCCAGTTCCCTTTACAGCCTCCCCCTTACTTGCATCTCAGTCCCCTTCACATTCCCCCCTTCCTTGCACCCCAGTACCCTTTACAGCCCTCCTTTTTTGTACCCCAGTCCCCTTTACAGCCTCCCTTTTTGTATACTGGTTCCCTTCATGGCCCCCCTTCCTTCCTCGCAGTCCAGTCTCCTTTATATGAATACCCCCCTACCTTACATTACCCCCTGCCAATCACAACCCTCCTCTAACCTAGTTGTTCCTACCTTACACAGCAAGTAGAAGGCACAGCATTCTTGGACAGAGGGCGGGACATGCTTTTCATGTTAATAGGCAGGTGATTGGTTTCTAGGAACGCCTAACAACCAATCACTGGCATGTTAATTTGAAAAACTGGGTAGCTCCCGCCCTCTGGCTGGACATGCCATGCCTTCTACCTGCTATAAGGATAATTACTGTGGCGGTGGTGATCGGGGGCAGGGGGGAAGAGAATATCAGCCAGCAGAAGATGTCCAGGCTGCTAAGTGGTGAAGCCGCGGGCTGTATAGGACAGTCATTCAGTCCATTTGTGGACCATGGTCCACTATTTAGTGATACCCGCTTTAGTGGGTCCAAAAAGAAAAAAATAATAAATTCACATTTTTTTTACCTGCAAAAAAAATGTGCATTTATTATTTTTTGTTAAAAGGTGAATGTATCCTTTCAGTTGACATCACAATTCTAAAATTTGGTATTTATGTCTCAGTTTTGCCTATTAAATTTGAGCAGTGCTGAGGGCTACTGACTTGTGCAATTTCCCTATTTGCATTGCTTGTACTAAAACTGCTGGTTTTCCAGTGTGAAAACCTAAGTGTCAGTGTTCCGTAAAAAGTTCTTTGTAAAGAGTGTTTGATCTCGTGTCACATGTGATGGAATCTTTTTAAATGAATGACCATGTGTTTACATATGTCTGTAGTCATGTGTATGTAGTGCAAGTTAAGTTAATGTTTGCTTATTCAAAATTGCAGTCTAGGGATTTATCAGCTTAATCAGTACAAATATTGTTAGAATTGCTTTTCACTTATGTTGCCGGTTTCCATATTTGGGTATTTCTCTGGTATGGGTGGCAGAATTGAAGTGTTCAAGTAAGGAGCACTTTTAACACATATCCATTCTTTTTACTTGTCCCTGTAGCCTCTTGAAATAACTCATTTGCGAGGGCTACGTACTTTGCAGACAAGCATGGATTTTAGATTTGTCCTGGTATAGAAGTCAGGGCGTGTCGATTGTGCCTCTGGCTTCTTAAAGCAGCATGTTCTCCCTCTCCTCTGGCAGGATGGGATGGATCAGATAGGATGGTAGTTTTTTGGGCAGGTTTTGGGGTTTGGCCTACAGGTGTGGCATGTAAATTTAAGGTGCTTCTAAAGGTACTTTTGTTTTTTTTATAAATACCTTAATGCTTTTAATGCATTAGGGTAAAAAAAAAAAGAATAAAAACTTATCTGTGCATTTCTCCTCCAGCCCCCCTTTACATACTTGAGCTTGTTCTTGATCCAGTGATGTACACAAGAACAGCAGCTTTCTTGACTCTCTCTTTCCTCACTGTATAGAGAGGCAGCAGCGAGAGCCATTGGCTCCTGCTGCTGTCAATCACAGCTAGTGATTAGATATTGGGGGATAGGGCTGAGCTGCGCATTGTGCATCAATGGATACCCAGAGTGCGGCTTTGGAGCAAGCCTGCACAAGTGTGCCCCCATAGCAAGTAGATTGCTGTAGGAACACTCAGCAGGGGAGAGGAGCCAGCAGCGCTGGCCATTGCACATTGTATTTAAGTTTATCTCCTTCAGAATCACTTTAAGCTCCATTTTCTAAGCGTCACAATATTTTGCAAATTACTGGGGTCCCTTGAACACTTCTGGGTTCTATGCTGAGTTACTTCCCCTCTGTAAACTGACCACAAGAAGTTACTCACTTCTCACTGCTGCCATTCACTGAATGCTGCTGAAAGCAGAACCAATGTAAGTATGCAATACAGATCATTCCTGGAGTTCAGCTTTAGGGCTGGTTCACACCAGTGGCTGTGTTAGAATAACAGGTAGGAGACAAGACCTTGTCTTGTAGTGGGACCATACTGGAGTAGCCACCCAATGCAGTCCTACTACCTGGTGTTAATTGTCCCTAAAGCTGAAGTTTTGTCTGGTTATATAAGGTACACCTTTTGCATCAGAAATATACCAAAGCTTTCCCAGCACACTTACCAGCTAACCTCCAAAAAAAAAACAAAACAAAATGGCACTTTCCAGCTGTAAAGTGCTGTCCTAACTTATATATGAGTTCAATACTTGTTCATACTTGTCTAGGAATAACTGATTCCTATGTCCCTTAATAAACTCCAAGAATCAAATTTTACAGTAAGTAGAAAAATCTTGTTTTATTGCTCTTTGGATGAAACATCTTAAGCTGCAATTGTGTCTATTATATTAAAGTGACTTGAATTTTCTGAGCAGAGTTTAACGTATGTATTCTTAACTCAGAAAAGTACTTTCTATAGCTCTCAGCCTCCTTCCAGTTTCTAAATTCTTTCCTGGACTTTGGAAAAGGAGAAGCTCAGGAACTCGTAGAGGACATCACTAGGAGTCTGAAAAGCACAAAAACTATTTCTTGAAAAATAGATTACGGGCCATTATATAGTGGATGTTTATGGATCATTTTTGGAGGATAAGGATATTATTTAGAGTCACTTTAATTACCGATGTGCTGTAATAACCATGACCGGTACAGTGGTCATTCCTCTGTGTATTGCTCTTAGCAGCTCTCTAACTCCCCTGGTGGTCTGTAAGACAAGCTTCAAATTACAGCTTTGGTGTTAACCTGAGAAGTTCCCATCACATGTCTGTTAATACTTTTTTTTTTTTCCCTTAAGATGTTGGAAAAAATTATACTATACTGCTTGAAATATTTAGCACTTTCTTTCCACACAGATAAACAGAACAACTTCCCACCTCTTCCTCGTTTCATACCTCTGAAGCCATGTTTCTACCAGGATTTTGAAACCGATATTCCCGACCAACATCGGACCATGGCTAAGCGTCTTTACTATTTATGGATGTGTAAGTATAAACCTGGACTGAATAGTGGTCTTCATGCTTCCTTTGTGACCACATCGTTGGCAGTGCCCACAAACAGACTTTTATATTAAAGCTAAAGTTTAGCTTAAAAAAAACCCTTTAGTCATATCACTTTTGTATAACGAAATTTGTCACATGTTGTGCAGGCAGCTGGATCCTGGAGAAATCTTCACTGCAGGGTTGCCTTGTCCTCTTCCTGTCTCTGAACTATGACACTGCAGTGGTTAACAACTTTAGGTCTTCAGGTACAACAGCAGTACAGAAGGTCTGACGGGGATACTCCTGCACCTTCTTCCTCCACTGATAAAACTTTCTTTATTGATTGCACTGCTTGTAACATATCCTGTGAATTGGAAGAGAATCTTGGGACTTGGGACCGTGTTACAAGCCGTATAATCACTGAAAACATGTCCCTGTCAAGCTGAACCCAGAAATGCAAATCTGTTAACCCCCACAGTGTCAAACGTTTAGAGCCAGGAAGAGGACAGGCATCCCTGCACAGAAGATTCACCAAGATCCTGCTTGCAGTACAGTGTGAGACATCTTGTATTACAGGTGAGTGATTGGACAAAAGCAGTAGAGATTTTTTTTTTTTTGTCATCTAAACTGCAGCTTAAAGCTTTCTCTGGAAAGAACTGTAGAATCTTAAGAGAAAAATCAGATAAATACAAAAACTCTTCAAAGCACATCATTTATACTGTGTTGTGATGTCTTAAATAAAAGCAGGTAGCCTGAACAGCCCATATTTTGAGGATTTGCCTTTTGAGGACAACTGTGTCTACTGACACAAATCAGTTCACCCCTGCAAGTAGAAGGAAAGGCTGAATACATGATATGCTGTGGTTGATTGATAAATCAACCTGAGAAAACTTGGTCCAAAGCATCTACTCATTCCAGCTGGTAACACATCTGTTTTCTAGTGCACCAGTGTAGCTCGGGGGTTGCCATTGCTGAAATTCTGAAAACCTCCAGTTTTTTCAAAGCCGGAATCTTGGAGCAAACACGTGTTATCTTCAGTTTCTCAAATAGTTTTTTCTTTAAAGAGGAGTAGACTAGAGATTGACTTAATTTTTCTCTTGTACAAATCATTAGCTTAAATGTTTAGTTTTAGGACAAGAGTTCATAAAAAGATGATTCAGAACTGAACAGTGCAAAAAAGGGCAACTAAATTAATACGAGACATGGATGAGCTCAGCTTTTTTTTTTCTTAAACATGTTCTCTTTACCTGCCCTGTCAATATTGTACAGAGCAATCCTGAACTTCCTCTTCTAGGGTGTTCCAGGCGTCTCTTTTCTTCACTGCGCCACCATAGGAAGTGGCTTCTTATGGGGGAGCACCTGCAGGCTTGCTCTCAAGCTGGGCTCTGTGTATCTATAGACACACACAGCCTAGCTCTGCCCCGCCCCATGCTCTTCTGCTGATAGGATTTGATCAACAGCAGCAGAAGCCAATGGCTCCTGCTGCTGCCTGTCTGTTCTGTTAGAGGAGAGAGAGCAGCACCTCTGCAGAAAGGGCACTGTGCTGGGTCAAGACAGGTCTCGGGTAAGTATAAGGGGGTGGGAGGGGGAGGCGATATTTCCACCTGATATTTTTTTTTTATCTTACTGCAGGAAATGCATTCATGTAAAAATGTTCTGCCTTTTTAGAACCACTTCAACTGAATTTATTATCTCTTCGATAGAGGAGATATGATCATATTGTATAAAAGCATAAATAATCTATTTAGTAAATTCAGCATACAATTGTTCGCTTAAGGGCAAATTCAAACGGGTTGTGTTTTTTTTTTTTTTTTTCTGTCAGTAGAGGATACATGAACAGATCCCCCCCCATCAGAGCAAAATCTGTGTCTGTTCAGGTTTTTCTTCCAGACTGACACAGGAGCTTAATGGACCCATGATAGGTCTACAGACAGGTGGATGTAAATGGATGTTCCACCGATCCATCACACTTTGTTCCAAAAAAAAAAAACGTAAAAAGACGCAAACTGTTTCCATTTTTTTTTTTTTTTTTGATGACCTAGATGGACTTAGAGGTGCTCCAGTAGTGTTCTATAGTAATGAGGTTCTAGCTAACCCCATGCAGATTGTTCAAAAAAGAGCTGAATATGTTTTTTTTTAGAACATAAAGCACAAACGGCAACCAATATTAATATATAATAACACTGTAGCATTATGATCCAAGGAATGTTTGATTTCCATAGGGGATAAGCAAGGAATTGTTTTCACTTTTTTTTTTTTTTCTCTAGCGTTCTGTAGATGAAACTTTTTTTTTTTTTTTTGAGCTTGCTCTTTTTTTTCTTTTTTAAACTGACTAATCATGTAACTGTGGCTCCAAAAATATCAAAGCCATTCACAATATAACAGTCAGGTAACTGGCATTTTCAGAAACAGGTCAGCAGTGGCATTCCATAATGCATTTCTCAAATATATGCTTTGCTTTATATTCGATTAGGGAGAACATGACATCACCTTTTATCTATTTCATCTCTCACAGTGTGAATATTTGTATGGTTGAAAAGTTTTGAACTTTATATCCGATTGCAGTTCTGATATGTTCCCTCTGAAAACACTGCATGCAATTTGTGTTCCAATTCTATCATTGTGTAAAAGAACAGTGATCAATGTATACATCCCATGAATATCATGTTTTTTTTTTTTTTTTTTTTGTTCTTTTTATTTCCCCCCCAACTGTATATGTGTCCATTACCCTCATGGTTGTGCGACTGGACATACGAACATTTTGTAGAGCTTTTCATCTGCGCTTTTTCATCATTGCTCACATGGTCACATAAGACATTGTTATTCCCCAATCCTGCAGCAATGAAAAGAATACTGCTCAGGCACAGGCTGCTTGTCAAGGTGAATCTGCCTTTGTCTGCACCAGCTCTCATATAAGGTTTCATTTTATACTCAAGCTACCAATTAACTGCTGCACTGGTGTTCCAAACATGCTGTGTGTGTGCCTTTATACATACGTATAATATTGCATGATCACCCTAATGCCTACACTGGTATGATGCACATCTGTGTAACGCACAGCTTGCCTGTGTTCATTCTAGGAGTTTGATATGATCTGCTGCTCATACACTGTGTGATATTCTCTGAGTGCAGTTTGCAGTTTGCAGTTCCAGGGTGGGAGGGTTATAGATCCTGACTCCTATGCTCTGACTTTGCCCCAACCTCATTCTTATCTTTGGCTCTCTTCTTCTTGCTGCATGTGTGTGCCTCTGCGTGACCCGGTGTGTGCGTGCAGTGAACAGCATCACGCTGGCGGTGAATCTGATTGGCTGCCTGGCGTGGCTGATTGGAGGAGGCGGAGCCACTAATTTCGGCCTGGCATTTCTATGGCTCATCCTTTTCACTCCCTGTTCCTATGTGTGCTGGTTCAGACCTATTTACAAAGCGTTCAAGTAAGTATGTGACTGCCAATTTACATTGAATCAATTTGTCCACAACTTATGCTTGTTACCCAAAGTGTAATAACACCACCTTCCTACCCTATTACTGTAAAAATAATTGCAGAAGGGATTCTCAATATACCTGACTTTTTGTGGAAGCACATGTCCAGGATTGTACGGTGGCTGGTTGTGAGACCTGATGGTGGATCCTCCGATTCAGTAGAATCCAGTGACCAAATGGCTAGGCATTTAACCACATAACCAGGCCTTGTGGTTTACCCCAAGACTGGGAAATATTTCAGGAGTTGTTTGTTTTTCCTATTTGACTTTAAAGTAGCAGAGAGGGCAGGAGGGTGGAGGTGTTCTTGCACTTTATCTACTTTGACCATGAATCTATATGCTTTCACTTTCTATTTTAGGCTAAAGCTACACTGCAGCAAATACTAAAAGAAAATGACATTGTAATCAATGATTTAGGTGCACCACCTGAAAATAGCATGTGTAACATTGCAATCAATGATTCAGGTGCACCACCTGAAAATAGCATTTGTAGCATTGCAATCAATGATTCAGGTGCACCGCCTGAAAATAGCATATGTAGCATTGCAATCAATGATTCAGGTGCACCACCTGAAAATAGCATACGTAGCATTGCAATCAATGATTCAGGTGCACCACCTGAAAGTAGCATACGTAGCATTGCAATCAATGATTCAGGTGCACCACCTGAAAATAGCATATGTAACATTGCAATCAATGATTCAGGTGCACCACCTGAAAATAGCATATGTAGCATTGCAATCAATGATTTAGGTGCACCACCTGAAAATAGCATATGTAACATTGCAATCAATGATTTAGGTGCACCACCTGAAAATAGCATATGTAACATTGCAATCAATGATTTAGGTGCACCACCTGAAAATAGCATATGTAACATTGCAATCAATGATTTAGGTGCACCACCTGAAAATAGCATATGTAACATTGCAATCAATGATTCAGGTGCACCACCTGAAAATAGCATATGTAACATTGCAATCAATGATTCAGGTGCACCACCTGAAAATAGCATATGTAACATTGCAATCAATGATTTAGGTGCACCACCTGAAAATAGCATATGTAACATTGCAATCAATGATTCAGGTGCACCACCTGAAAATAGCATATGTAACATTGCAATCAATGATTTAGGTGCACCACCTGAAAATAGCATATGTAACATTGCAATCAATGATTCAGGTGCACCACCTGAAAATAGCATATGTAACATTGCAATCAATGATTTAGGTGCACCACCTGAAAATAGCATATGTAACATTGCAATCAATGATTTAGGTGCACCACCTGAAAATAGCATATGTAACTGGTCCTGTACCAATCATACATTCATAACTCATTATGGGTTGTCTTTTAAAATATTTATGAAGACTGAGGAGACTACAAATGTACATGTAGCTCTAGCCTGTCAATCTCTAACATTCCTGTGTACCTGTATAAGTCTTTACCTATCTTCTTGTTTTATTAAACACTACAAACCACACCTAAACATTTTGTTTAATGTAATCACATACAATGTCAGTATGGCAGTGATTACTGAACATTTTGGACGTATGTGTATAACATATACCTTCCTATTGCCTATTCTTTAGGTGCAGTAGCTGGTACCCCCTATACATTGTGCTAACAGATTGCATGCATGATGGGAATCCTTCCATGTGATCCACCTGTCTTTAGTTTTCTACATTTGACTTGTTCCTTACAGATTCCGTGTTTGACATGTGATTTTCTCCTTTGACAGGACGGACAGCTCCTTTAACTTTATGGCTTTCTTCTTTACCTTTATGGCCCAGTTGGTTATTAGCATAATACAAGCCGTTGGTATTCCTGGCTGGGGAGTCTGGTAAGAGTTTATTTACCTTTTTTTTTTTATTATTATTATTATTATTATACAAGATTTATATAGCGCCAACAGTTTGCACTGTGCTTGTACAAAATTAATTGACAATAGTCCTCTATGGTTATTTGCTGGATAACTACCATGCCTTTGATCATGAGAGATGCTCTAGATTGAAATACTCATACATGGGGCTCTTTGGTTGACTGTTTCCAGATAACAGTGTAAGCACTTCTACACATAGGTACGGAAAGGGTAATTCTATTGACTTTCATGACACTCGCTGACAATTCCCTAACACCTGGTGCAGATAGGGCATGGAAAAAAAAAGTCACAGGGGTGCACTCAGTTTTGCACTCCTGTGACCCGTATTCAGCCGGTAGCTGGCTAAAGTCCGCTGTTGTCTAAGTCACTCAGCTGGCCCAAGCTCTGGAGAGATCCTGACTTTAAAGCCAGGATCAACCCAGATTCCTGACCTGAAGCTTGCTCAGCCTCTGAGTGCGCCACTGTGACCCTGAGCCAGCTATTCCTGCCCCCTCTCCAGCCTAGTAGTCCAGTGAGCGGGTAGAGCAGAGAGCCGGTGGCTCACAGTCACTGGCTTTCTGCTCATTGAAGACCGAGAACATGGAGATCAGTAGTCTTTGAGCGCTCAGTTTTCGGTCTTCAAGGCATCGGACTAATATTGCACCCACCTAGGTGAATATGAAAGTTTATTTTGTTTTATTCCTGAAAGTTTCTTTTAATGTGTCACCTCCAAGGGCATAGCTACAGGGGTCGCAGGAGTCACAACTGTGACCCGGCCCCGTGCGGACCTCCCCTTTACGCAGCCAGCATAGGCAGCTGGGTGGGTGGTGGGTAGCAGTACCAGCGCCTGTGTAACTGGAGGATGGGGGTAAGTAGCAGAGCTCCATGCCATTTCCGCACTGGTTGCTATTCAGTCTCATATTCCCCGTGTCCTCGGCCGTCCCCTCTTTCCTGCTCCATAGCAGTTCAGTGTACCTCCCCCAGCCAGATTCCTGAGCAACCCCTTAAACTCCCCCCAAAGTCGCCTCCTTTGTACAGAGCTTTCAGGTGCACAGTGCTCTCGGACAAAAGATCTAGCACACAGGTGCAGCCCTATGAGAGCCGGCTCCCTTAAGGACACCACAGGCTTCTCTTCCAGGCCCCCCTCCTCCACCCGTCATACACAGATCTCCCTCATTGTTGAGCAGAGGATGCGTTCTCCCATGCTGATCGCTCTGGTCTGTACTGCTGGAGAGAGCCCACGCGACCATGGATGAGTGATTGAAGGTTGGCCGGCGGCAGCGCAGTATGCTTCCTTACCAACAGCAAAGCGGACACAGGTGGCACAGCCAGACCATACTGGCCGGGATCTAGTACCCGCACTCCATCAACCCTGCCCTGCAGCTTGATCATGGTGAGTGAGTTGACCCCATCTCTCCCTTGTACCATCCCATACCCCATTCCATTGCCCCTGGGGAAAGGGACCCCATCTCCCCTGGGGACAGGGATCCCATCTCCAGACCATGCTGGCTGGCAGTGCTGGTGTCATCCACCCTAGGGTACCAGGAGGGGGCAGTAAAATCCAAATCCCCAGCCACTTGAGAATTTGGGAGGTGTACTGGCGGGATCGCTGGATTTGATGGGAAGGGGGGGGGGGTACAGCAATTCCGGTGTAGGGTGGCTGGAGGTCGGGGGGGGGGGGGGGTCTAGCAGTACCAGTGTGGGGTGGCTGGAGGACAGAGGGGGTCTAGCAGTACCAGTGCAGAGTGGCTGGAGGATGTGGGTACATTAGTATCAGGCGGGGGGTTGTTAGGCAGCAGTACCAATGCAGGGTGTCTGAAGGATGCAAAATGTACATTTACCTGTGTAGGCAAAGATCCTTGCACCGGCCCTGCCTGTACGCCTGGATAGAAGGAGCAGCAGGGGCGGCTACATATAGAGGATTCAGTCTCCCCATTTTATTCTTGCCTGCCATTGCATGCCTGTGGCATTCAGTGGTTGCAGGAGGAAAATAGAAAGGTAGATTCCTCTATATGCAGCCGCCCCCGCTGCTCCTCCTATACAGATGTGCTGTTTCCTGGCCCCCCTCCTCCCCCACAGCTCTGCCGGGTTCCCCCCTCCCCTCTCCCACCAGCTGCTGTGGGGGGGGATCTTTCAGGATGGAGAGTGGGGAATGACACATTTACTGGCCCCTTCTTTTTCTGAATGGAGAGTCCGTGATCCATATCAATCACTGACTTTGTCCATTCATAACTGGGGCATAGTAAACTGTGCTTACTATGCTTCAGTTTATGAATGCACAGGAAGCTGTACAGATCTATTCCTGTCCTTTCATTAAGTGCATCTGAGTCTGCAGAGAAGGAGATGAGGGCTGTGTCATCAGTTTCCTTTCTCTGTCTCAAAGGTGGAACATCAGAGGTCTGCTTAGACCTTGATATCTCACCAAAGCACCCCAACGGGGCTCCTAAAAAATTGTAAAAAAAATAAAAAAAAAGTACTGATACCAGTGGTGGAACTACCAGGGTCAGAAAGGTTGTGCTTGCGATCGGGCTCTGGTATTCCACCACTGGGCTCAGTAGGAAGGGCCCCAGCCGGGGGTCAGGGGGTTCTTCGTGGTTTCTTGCATCGGGGCCCTGAAGGTTCTAGTTACGCCACTGGTTACCTCTGATCATGAAACTCCAGTGGGTGATGGTACACTCCTTCAGGAGCTGTCCTCTTACCTGTGTCTGCATACCTTCCCTTAGGGAAGTTTATTTTCATTTGATTCCCATTCCTTTTCACTGACACAGCTGGACAGTATTTGAGGAGAGTCCTGACTAAAGTCTGTGGGCCCAAAGCATTCTTTGATTGAACAAGGTGGAGATTGTGACATCACCGCTCCCCTCCCCACCATGTCCAGTCAGACAAAGCTTTGCATATATTGAGCAAAATGCAAACATTCTCAGAATGGAGCTATGCCAAGCGAGCGACTTTGCCCCCCAGCCAGTAATTATTGTACAGCAAAGCAGCCATTGGCAAGTGTTCTTCCAGAAAACAGCAAGGATCACTGTGGTAGTAGCAGCAGCTACTTCAGAGTTTTTCCATTTCCATAGGGAATTGGCCAGATATAGGATATTTATACTCGCATCAGTCCAAGCTGGTCCTATGTGTATATATTTGTTAAAAAAAAAAAAAAAACAACATACCTGGCATTCAGCTTTAAGGGTTTCTGCCACCCGTGTATGGATAAGCAGATGTTAATCACATGACAAGCTCTGGCCTTCATGGACTTGAACTGATGTACAAAAGTATTCTCTGCTCACACACAGACAACTCATTGTCTGGTTGAAAGCTTTTCTCAGTGCTCTCAAATATCTGCATGGTTTAGCTATGCTGTTCATATAATTTACTATTTTCATTTTTTTTTTTTTTTTTTACAATTCGCAAGACATGTTATAGAAGTGCTGTATTTGTAGATTGGTTTTATTTCCTGCTGGAGAGAAAGAGCTAAAGCAAACTTAGTAGCATCTTTCACAATGTTCACAATCATTTTTAGAATGTTTAACTGCTTCCTGCCCGCAGGCTGTAGATTAGCATACCTCAACACAATGTCCAATGGCAAGGGAATATTCTTCCTTCCATTTTGAAACTTGGAGCCCACAGCTGTGCTGGTTATGAGACTGAGCTATCACTTGCAGCTCTGGTCTTTGACTATAAACAACCACTGTGATTGGTCCCTGGTCTTATGATTGCTAGAATAGTCAATATTAGAGAGCACATTGATTTGTTTACAACATAAACCCACACTCAGAGCTTTTTGTGCCTCCTACAGTATAACCACTTTCCCTCCAGAGGTTTTAACCCCCTTCCTGACCAGGCCATTTTTTGCGTTACGGCGCTGCGCTATTTCAACTGGTAATTGTGCGGTTATGCAATGCTGTACCCAAATGAAATTTATGTACATTTTTAACACAAATAGAGCTTTGTTTGGTGGTATTTGATCATTTCTGCGGTTTTACATTTTTGTGCTATAAACAAAAAAATACTGAAAATGTTGAAAAAAAAAATATTTTTTACTTTTGGTTATAAAAAATATATAGTAAACTCAAATATAGTCATAAATTTAGGCCAAAATATATTCTGCTACATGTCTTTGGTAAAAAAAAAAATCTGAATAAGTGTATTTTAATTGCTTTGTGTGAAAGTTATAGTGTCTACAAATGGCAGTATAGATATTGGAATTTTGCTATATGGTGCTGCGCTAGTTTAACTGACAATTGCTTGCAATTTTGTACATAAATTAAATTTAGCATGTACATGTAAGCTATCTGTTGAATGGCATGATGAGTCCATGGAAATTTACTTTTTCCCATGTTTTTGGAAAATGAATTTTTTTTTTTTTTTACACAAAGTTGTCATTTAAATAGTTTTTATTTCTCACATATGCCATGATTATATTTGGAATTACACCACAAAATATATTCTGCTACTTCTCCTGAGTATGGGGATACCACATGAGTGAGACTTTTTGGAAGCCTAGCCACATACAGGAGCCCGAAATCCAATGACCACTTTGAAAGCCTGAAGGTGCGTAACTATCTCATTTCATTTCCTCACTACCTATCACAGTTTTGGAGGCTCTGTAATGCCACGATAGCACCAAATGCCCCCAAATGACCCCTTTTTGGAAAGCAGATACCCCAAGGAGTTTAAAAAGAGGCATACTGAGTATTTTGTAGATCTCATTTTTCCTCAAAAGGTTTTGAAAAAGAAAAGAAAAAATATGTTTTCGTTTTCTTTGTTCATTTTCCAAAAACTTGAGGCAGCAAATGAGATCTGCAAAATACTCACCATGCTTCTTATCAAATTCCATGGGGTGTCTACTTTCCAAAAATTGGTAATTTGGGGGGGCGGGGTTGTACTATTCTGTCTTTTCAGGGCTTCCGAAACTGTGATAGGTAGTCAGGAAGTGTAATGAGGAAATAAAGCCCTTTAAAAGCCTGAAGGTGCTTATTGGATTTTGGGGTCCTGTACGTGGCTAGACTGCCAAAAAGTCTTTCCCATGTGGTTTTCCCATACTCGGGAGAAGTAGCAGAATGTATTTTGGGGAGTAATTCCACATATACCCATGGCATGTGTGAGCAATATATCATTTAAGTGATAAATGCCGAAGCATAGGGGCCATCCACCCACTGGCCACCAAGGCCCCCATGCTTGGGCTTATCCTAATTAACTCTAAACCTACTCTCGGCCACATTCTAAACCTGATCTACCTAGCCCTGTAAGAAATAATCGCTCAGCTTATCTGTTCTGTAGCCACTCCTGGTCCGGTCTCCAGCGGTGCCTTCTGTGTGCTGGAGACAGATGGGAAAAGCCTAGGAAGTGACGTTACCCGTAGTTACTATGGGGCTTCCATTGGTAGGCTGCCTCTACTGCACACTGCTACACGCCGAAGCCGCTGCTGACAGAACAGCTAAGTATAGCGATTTTTTTTTTTTTACAGGCCTAGATAGAGTAGGCTAAGAATGTGGCTGAGATTAGCTTTAGAGTTAGTTAGGATTCACCTTTTCTTAAACTTTAAATTAGGAAACAAAAAAGAATGGCATTTTTTTTATCACTGCACCAAATACATTTTTGTGCGTCTTTGGAAAGCAATATATAAAAAACTATAGGTAGGGAAATTATGCAAAGCATAATTATGAACCTAACCAACACATACTAAAGCTGCTAAATTTGGCATGGGCGTCTAGGTTTCAATGACTTCAGGTCAGAAAGATTTAAATCAAATACTGTTGCAGATTTCATCCTCTCATGTGCCTTTTTCTATTTTCCTTCTTTCAGCGGCTGGATTGCAGCAATTTCGTTCTTGGAACAAATGTGGGGTCTGCGGTGGTGATGCTGATTCCTACCATTATGTTCACAGCTATGGCCATCTTGTCCTTTATAGCACTGACAAAGGTATACTGGGCGTACAAATATTCTGAGTTCACCAGCTGTATTGTGTTCTTACTTTGTTGCAGTGCTCATGTACTCAAAGAGGAACATGCTGATAGGAGAAGCATGACAGATGAGCTGATCAGGCTGCTGCTTCTCATTCCAATCACAGATTAGGGGAGGGACAGGTTCTGTAAGTATGGGGCTGCCATTGCAGGCCACCTCCGAAAATATACTAAATGCCTTTCTGTGGACTTCAAAACAGCAGATTTAAAGGAGGCGCTAGGAACTTTCACAGACAACTAGGAACATCCAGATAGCTGCACTTCCAAAAGATCCATTTATTCGTACGTCACTTAACATGGCAATAAGACACCATGGGAACTGAAAATGTTTTGACTTTTCCATGTTATGTGTCCTGATGTATGAATAAATGAATCTTGTTTGGAGTGCAGCTATCTGGATGTTCCTAGCTGAGCTTGCATCCAGGTGAGTGGGGTGTTGAACTGTTGTGGCAGGCAAACCTGGAGCAGTGACCTTATGTATCTATGCATTTTGGGACCTTTCATACTTGTACCGGAAGTTAGATGAAGGAAAACTTCAGACAGGCTAAATTACTTTGTTGAGCCGGCTCCCACACGGCAAGGCTTCTTTCAATGGGCACCCCACAGGAGCTCAAATTACAGAAATACAGGCAGGAATGGCAGACCCAAAAACACATGAAAGAGTACAAGATAATTTTAATTGTTGGTTAATAAGTCATATAAAATCCTCCAGCATGTTTTTTTTTTATATTTATTTATTTTTAGGTGAGTTGGTACAACACCATTTTCTCTTAATTGAAGCTTAACACTGTATATAACTTAGATGAACTCTGAGGTTGACCGTGAACTCACAGATCTTTATTAGAAATAGTGTTCAGTTTTTTCTTCATGGAGTAACAATGAAAGAGTTTCTGATTAGCAATGTAGGTTCAACTGGTACTTCATCCTGAAGAAGCCCACGTGACCCGGTGGGCGAAATGCGTTGACGTCACTGTCTTTTGATGCCCACGCTCCCAACGTCCTGGCCTGGCCACACGGCCGGTTGTCCTCAGCGCCTGCACACTATGCTGACTTCTCAGCTGTATTGACCGGATTGGCCCGCACATCTCTCATTGGGTGCAGCAACCAGACGTTCCTTCGGAACCATATATCGTGGACTCTTGGCAACCGGGGGGTTTTCCTGCTGGGTGAGAGTATCCTGACTATCATTGCCGCTACCCTGTATGACCACTGTACTTGCTATACTGCATATCATACTATGGGGATTATCTTCTAGTATTCACAGGCTGATTGCAGGACATTGTGCCCTTACTAGGACTGTACTACCACATGTACTCCATTCCTGGCTTGCTTTACATTGATGTATTACCCCCATGTTATGTAGCTTTACATCAAGCTTACCATCAGCCATTCAATTTATTCTATTTCCGTGCATCAGATAATTACTAGATCTTGAATCCCCTTTACTGCAGCCTATCATCTTGCTGTTTAATAGATACTACAGGATCTGTGGTCATCAAACTATATATCCTGTCTTTCTTATATTGGGTGTAGCACCAACATTCCGGTGTCTTAGATATATCCTATTGGGTGACCACCCTATACCTGGAATAATGGCAGTTTATTTATGACCAACTATATCTGTCATCTGTGATATTAAGGAAGAGGAATTGAATGAATATCAATACAATACACTTTAGTGTATATTGCTGGAGTCAGCATGCAAGTCATTTCCATATGATCCCATCTGATTTATATCAACCTGACAAGATGCTCTGATTATCATCTGGTCACAGTCAATTACTACCTCTCCATTTATCTATATAGCACCAATGAAGGTGCATACTCTACCTCTGTATGAGGCCACGTTCAAGATTGGAGATTCAGGCAGCACCTAGTGACCGTTCACATCCAACTGGGGAGTCAAAGTGCACTATATCCATTTGATATCACTGGACTACCTCATGCCATTTATTGATTGTTGGTTTATACTAGATATTTGCATTTTGTGAGACCCTGCATCTTATTTCTATATCTCACACTTAAAGCCATTACTATGTACCAATATTGCTGCATATGTTCTTCCTTATTCTATCTTCCACTATATTCATCCTCTTCCTTTTTGGCGTATTCCTGTTTTCATTCCTTATTGCTCCATCATTTCCATCTGAGTCCATCATTCTATTCCTTAGTTAAGGCTGACTGCTCTGTGCATGCATGTGTGTATGTCAGAGTGGCCGGGATCCCGGCACATGGGCTGTCCCTTATATGACAACATTGTCATTTTAATTTTAGTTCGATGTTAGGTGGAGGTCGTCTGTTTTTTCTATTTGTTCTATTTAGTTAATAAACATTATATTTTCAGCCGCTGTCTGTTCTCATTAGGACTTCTGTGCCAGTGGGTTTCCCCCTGGTTTCTTCTTTTTTACTCAACTGGTACTAATACAGGAGCCAGTATACAAGGGGAATGCTGTTTCCCCCCGAAATGCGTTTGATTTTTTTATGGTTCGTTTGCCAACAACAGTTTTTTTGGACTCTTTTATCCGTTTTTAGTCCAAAAACACTCCTTTCTGTATTTCTGTGGTTTAAATGCCTCGATGTGTCTGACTACAGTATGTATATATCACAGTCCTGGAGCAAGCATGCTGTAAATGAGTTATAACTGCTTAGCTTAAAGTGTTACTAAACCCAGGACCCGTATTCACTATATCTGGGCTCTCACGGTACACAGAACATAGAAATGCAATTATTTTAGTAAATATAAACTGCTAAATATATTTTTCTCATCAGAAGTTAGAGCAGTCTTGTGACTTCTATCAGTGGCCAGCAGAGCACTGGTTAAAGTTTGTGGAGAAGTTTTCGTTCTGCCCTGCGAGGCTACAGGATCCCTGACCCCCTGTCTGGACAGGTCTGATTGGTCCTGTGCTGATAACATGCACTCTCCTAAGAATAAAAATACTGTTTAGCAATACACACCAAACTGAGCATGTGCAGCTTGCCTCCAAGCCTCTGTTCTATCAGGAGATATATTGGAGACAGTAGAAGGGGAGGATCAGAGAAGACAGGATCAAACAGCCTTTTTACACAGTGCAGAGGAGTAACTCCTTAGGTTCCACAGTGAGTATAACAAGCATGCTTTTGACTTTACTGTTGTGGGTTTAGTACCACTTCAATGTTTGCCCTGGGTCAGTGACTCAGTGTCCCTTTCTATTGGAGAAAAAAATCAGGTCTTCTTTCCTACTAAATGAAAGTGTTTTGTGTGACAGAGTTGTGTAAATCTCAGAATGGACGGATTTAGCAAATAACAGAGATTTCTGGGAAAGAATTGGAGAAAATAACTATCTTCTTGCTCCCTTATAGGTACACAAATTTTACCGTGGAGCAGGAGGCAGCCTGAGTAAGGCACAAGAGGAATGGACCACAGGTGCTTGGAAAAACCCTCATGTCCAGCAGGCAGCTCAGAATGCAGCTCTTGGGGCAGCACAAGGTGCCATGACACAGAACGAACCTCAGTACTCAGCCACACCAAATTATGGCTACTCCAATCAAATGTAAGAGATTCTTGGGACTTCAAAGAATACATTCCCTGGGGTTGGAAAACTCCTCATTTCCGCTGTTCTCTTGTAGTTAAATTGTCTCTTCAACTCTCTTCCCATTCCCTTTGATATGGTGCATAATTGATAGTGGTGTGTGTATATGGTGTCCCAGAGAGTATCAATCCCTGGTTAACGGGGGCAAATGTTTGTGAGTTCAATTTATATACATACAGCGCTACAGCCTGGTGCTTTAACCGGTTGCTAGATATTGTTACAATAAGTAAAAAGCATTCAAGGGGAAAACCAGATTGTATAGTTAGTATAAATAGTTATATATATATATATATGGTGAAAGAAAATGATTTAAATTGCCATATAGGTGATGGTTTCAGGCAGTCTGAATGGGCCCAGCTGGCCTTGAATGGATCATGTGACTCCAAAGCCTGCAAGGCAATAAAAGGGAGACGCAAGTAAGCAATACATGGATGATATACTTACCGCCTATGTTTGCTACCTGTTATTGTGCATCCATCTTCCAAAGGCTTGGCTATGTAGCAAAATAACAACCTATTGTAAGGCCATTGCCTTTATTTATGGTAATTGATACCTCGTTCACTCCAGGTTTGCACCCATTATTGTTAGTATTTTGGACAGATTAGTTTTATTCACAAATATATGTTCAGGAACTCCAGAATTTCCTTGAAACTTGTTTTTTTTAGTTTTTGGACATTGTTGTTTTAATGTGAAAGTACAGTTTCAGCACTATATAATTATGCATAGTATCCCTATGGAACTAATGTACAATACATTTCTCCTTTACCCATGGAACACTAAATATCTCCTTTATTCATAGTACACTCCAATAGGACACTGAGTGTTGGAGCCACAAGACATCATCATGCCACGTGTGGTGTTTTTTTGTTAGTTTACATGAATTAGTATACATGAACAGGTGATGCAGATTATAAATAAATTATGCACAATGTATAGAGATTGGTGGGCTAATCTATGTTTTCCATCTCTCCAGGCATATTTTAACAAATTGCCATAATGAAACTTTATAAAATCTAGCTTTGAGCCTCAGATTAAAAAAATGTTTTCTTCCATACTTTATGTGGTATACTAACAGTTGAGCGACCAAACAAAACCTACGCAATGTATAATTATTGGTGTGTTAATTATGATAGACGGTACTTGAAATTTTAAACAGGCATCTTTAAGGCCTCGTTCACGCCATGGTGCAGAGATGTCAGTTTTTCAGCATGCGTTTTGCAAGGGCATAAAGAAAACAATTGTTCTCTATGTGCCCTGTTCACAACACTAGCATCACATGTGGATTTTTTCTGCGCAGGAATCAGCAACGTGTATTACACTCACTGAAACGCGCATGAAAACTGATGTAAACTCGTGTCTCTGCAATCTGTGCTTCAGTTTCCATCCATTTTCCTGCATTTATAGTGTGAATGAGGCCTAAATTTTCTGGAATTGGCTTAATTCACAAAGATTGAACATAAGGATAAGGATCTTTTTTTTTAGCAATGTGACCGTAATTTTTAAACTGGTTGATCTCATTGGCTAGCTAAATAACTGTCACTTTTTAAAAAATGGGGATCCCTATCTTAGTGTTTTTGTGAATTGAGCCTTTCTATATCAAGCACTGTAAACATTTCCGGATATTTACCTGTCTCCCCATAGCGTATGGTGCTACCAGCTGCACATGTTTACATAGAAAAATAGCATGGGGAAAATAATGTGTTATTTATGAATGATCCAAAGAGATAAAGAGGATAACTTTACTTATATTTGAGTTTTATTGCTCTAAATAAAAGAAAAAAGAATGACTTTTCGACTTCTCCCTTCTAATATCTTCATGCAAAAAAAACATACTTGTACTCTCTTCTAAGCAACAGTGGGGCCCTTGTACCCCTGGCATTAGGGTCCTTTTAATATTGCAGACCCCAAGAACCCAAAGTCTCAAATTTAATTCCTGCTGGCCTTAATACTTTAAGCTTGATATCATCCTAGTTGTCTAACCCCTGGCAAACTCTTGTGGCTTGAATCCAACACAAATCTAACTCTAACCTGTAGCATAGACACTGGTTAAAGGAGAGGTGTGTTTAGGCAAGGGATGCACCCATACCTGTTTTATTACCGATGAGTACCGATACTTGTGCTCAAGTACTCGCCAATACCAATTACCAATACCTTTGCGGTACGATCTAAGCCCTTACAAAATGAATGGGATCAAATGGCACTGCAAAGGATCGCATGTGATTTGAACCGGAATATGGTACAATTCCTCTCAGAATCATATGTGGTTTTCTGCACCGTGCCTGTGTGAACCTAGGCTGAAGTTCAGGAGCAGTGGGGGAACCGCATGCAATTTGGACAGGAATCGCACTGCATTCCTGTTCAAATTACATGAGATTCTTTGCAGTGCTATATGAGCCTATTCATTTTGTATGGGTTCAAAATGCACTGCAAAGGTATCGGTTTCAGGGTACTTGAGCAGTTGCTTTATATCGGCGCAACCCTAGTGTAGGCAGATGTCCATGCAAAGAGAGGGCATGGTGCAATGTCTAACAAGGAGAAAGAGCAGGGAAGTCACCAGATACCATTATTTGCTCTGTGGACTGAGACCAATTATTTGAATTGCAATGAGCCATTATACTCACATTCTCAGGCTTCCATACTAGGTCTTAGCTCCAGTCTATCAGATTACAGTTGCTGGTATAGCTGGAGATTTGTTTGCTGGGGACCCAAGAAAATATCCAGTAAGTAGGCAGCTATGTTATTTTTTTTTTCTTTTTTAAAACTCCAGTTGGTGATGCTCATGTTTAACAGTAAATATAAATTAATCTGTATTCAAATAAGTCATTTTTGTTTTATATATGTTTCCAAATTGTATGTGTAACACATGCAGCACTTTTATTTTGTATGTAAACTGTTAAAAGTCATCTCCACTCAAACCTTCATTTTGTTTAGGTAAAAATCACTAATCAAATTTTTAGCTGCTTAGCCAGTAGCACTGTTTCTAGACATATAAAGCTCAATTAAAATGGTTGTAAATCCTTACATGTACCCAGTGAAGTGATTTGCCTCAGGTGATACACAGAGATGAATCAGTCCTTCTACATAAGTTGTACCTGTGTATCTGTAGCCATCTCCTGTACAGTTGTTCAAAGTGCAAAATGTGTACAGCTTGTCTGAGCTTTCATAAAGCTGAGGGCAGGGAGTGGAAGTTACACTCTGCAGATCTCAATGAGAACTGACCTGAGGGAAGGGAAACACAGGAAAAGACCTGAGCCTGTCAACCATAGGCTGTGTGTTAGAGCTCCCTCCCTCTCTTAGAGTCAGGAAAACCTGTCAGAAATTACTCAAGCTGACAGCAGAGGAACAAAGCAGTAGAGAGAAATGACACTTAGTGCTCTGGGCAGAGACAGGCACATGCTATAGAGGGATTTGCTTTGTTCATTTCATGTCTGAGGTTTACAACCACTTTAAGCTTTGTAAAAGTGTGAAGCAGTCAGAATCGAGAAATATAAATAACTACCTAGGGAAAAAGAGCAGTAACATGACTTTGTGTGGAGTTGGCCATCTGTTGCAACCTAGATGCATTCTAAAAAATATGCTGTTTTTTTTTTTTTTTTTTAATTTAGTTTGAAATTCAGACTTCATACCCAATCACATTCATATGTCAATGTGCCTGCTGCCCTTGAAATATCAGTATTAGAAATATGTGGCAGCTATTTTATGAACTGTCGTTATTCTGGCAGAAGGGTTGATGGACAATTCAAATGCTGTTTATGGCTTTTCTTTTGTTGGGAAGCTATGTAGACTCTTTAATACCTTACACCATCAAGTAGTTATTAATGTAAAAGTATGGCCAATCATGTTATATTATAGTAAACATTCCCTTAGTAATGTTTACATTTTTAACACCTTATTCGTAACAAATAGGAAAGTGCACAGTAATACAAGTGAGGATCTTTCCTTTGATACTCGCAGTCGACAAGATAGTCCCTTAGTAATGTTTACATTTTTAACACCTTATTAGTAACAAATAGGAAAGTGCACAGTAATACAAGTGAGGATCTTTCCTTTGATACTCGCAGTCGACAAGATAGTCCATGTATATTGCTATTCATGGGATCCTTGGGACGTTCTGTCCAGTTCCAATAATGAGTTCTGGTATTTTGTCATTTTATGTGTTGTTTATCTTAACTTATTGACGTTCAGTGAGAAGAGTCGTGGAAAATGATGTGTGTGATCAAATTCAAAAATAAAGAAAGCTTTCAAACTAGGCTGCTGTATTAATTATTAAAATTAAAGCTATTTTTCTTTATGACACCAAAAAAAAGAAAGGAAAGAAAAAAGAAAACCCACAAAAAACAGGGAGTTTCCCAGAGAGGATCTGGCATTACTCCACTTAATAGGTATCCTCTGTTTTTGCCTATACGTTATGAATGGTTCTCTGGCAGTGACAGAACAGTGTACAAAATACAAGGTGGCCATTTAGGCATGAACCATAAATATCCTGGGCTGATTCTGACATTTATAGGATTATCCAACAATGGCACGTTAACGCTGAACTCCAGTGATTAAATATTTTGCATAATTATATTGGGCCAGTTTGGGTGTGATACATGATAGTCCTCTGTAGAAGCTGTAGAGTAAATCATCGTAGTAGCCTGAACTATTTCCTGGTCCAGAGCTGTTATTCCTCAGGAGCGTTGGCAGGGGAATGAGCTAATGAAGCATGATGTGTGCTTCATTAGCTTCAGTGGAGTGCAGGTGAGACATTGGGTTCTACAAAAAAAAAAAAAAAAAAAAAGTTTTAAAACTTGGTGACTTAAAGACTTACAGACTTCGTGGCTGAGTTGCTGTTGTTCCCAGTTGCTTCCACTTTGTTATAATACCACTAACAGTTGACCGTGGAATATATAGTAGCAAAGAAATTTCACAGATGGACTTCTTGTACAGGTGGCAATATATCACTGTACCACGCTTGAATTCACT